GCCATCCAGAGTAAGAATCTGGTTAGATACCATATTTCTAAGCTTTTCAGCGCCGAGTACAATGACCTCAGTTTTATCTGAGTTAAGAAGCAAAGTCAGGCTCATTTGTACAATGTTTATTAACCACATGGTTTCTGTATATCAGAAACCAAATGGAAATTAAGAGATAATTAAAAGAGTGATTTGAAATTGAACCACCCACCAGCAGATGGTACTATGAACTGTCTATTCAAATAAAACATTATTTTAAATCATTTTGGGAACTTATTATTATTCAATCACCACACGTAAATGATATAGGTAAAGATAAATATGAATTTGATCATTTAATCTATGGACAAGACACCCGGCTGCTAGACCTTCAAGTTAACTTTGAAGTTGATTGGACACAATGGACATATTGGCTATGAATTTTCATACAAATGTTAGAAATACAGCACAGGTCAAAAAAAACCTGGGGTGCTGTGTATAATGTTCAAAAAGTGCAATGTTTTGAAAATCTCATGATTTTATATTTTATTCACAATAGAAAACGTATCAACTTTTTAAACTGAGAAAATGTATTTTAGAAAAATATTAGCTCACTTTGAATTTGATGGCAGCAACATGTCTCAGAGTTGGGATGGGGTAGTTTTTATCACTGTGTAACATTCCCTCACAAAAGTCTACAAACATCTGGAAACTGAGGAGACCAGCTGGTGCAAAAATGTTGTCTCATACTTGTCTGATATGGGCTTCTGCTGCTTAACAGTCTCGCACCTATTTTCTCATATTTTTTTTTGTTTGAAACAAAATGTTTGATCTGAACTGCAGATAGGTCAGTTCACCACAGCCATGCTGTTGTAAAAGAGCAATTAAAGAGCTCCTGAAATATGAAAGGCCTTCCTATGATAAAAAGGGATATGCTACATGGAATAGTTGAAACAGTTCATTAATTTATTGTTTAAGATTTTTTATGGGATTTTTCCAACTGTATCAGATAAATAAAGCAAGAACAAATATCATTTTTTATCATGCTCTGAATTCCTCAGAAACAATAAAGAGAAACTTAAAGACAATTAAGAAGATCAAATATTTAACAAGTTAGAGATAAGGGATGAAAAGAGGTAAAGGATTAGATTGATACATGGGGAATGCACTGAACAACTACAGGTATTTATGATTCAATAAATACTTGTCATTCATGACTGGAGGCAGAACACTGAAAAAAGGCCATGTTGGATTTACTTAATTCAATAGTGGACATTGGTTGCACACAACTGTTTTGCTTTGGCAGAAACTTAAACAACTGAGTTAAACCAACACAACTTATTCATATTCAGTAAACCTGTGCATTTTGTGTCGATAAAACGCGATTGAAACATGTTTAGATGAAGTAAGTTGAGCTCTTGGAATGTTTTAATCCTTCTTTGTCATTTTATTTCAGCACTATTCAATAACTTTTACCCCAATACTACATGTTGTCTTCGTATTACATAATGTTCAACAAAGTCTAGAGTCTGGTTAACCTAAAAATTGCATGGATTTAAAATGACCCTGGACAGCTCACCAGTCTATCACATAGAGACAAACAACCATTTGCACTCACATTCACCAATTAACCTAACTCTAATAACAGCATGATTTTTAACTGTGGGAGGAAACCAGAATACCCAGAGAGGAACCACTGCAAACTAGCCAGATTGTGGATTTGAACCAGGGACTTTCTTGCTATGAGGCAGCAGCACTAACCACCATGCCACCAATCCAGGCTTAACAAGAGTAGGAAAGCTATGATTTCAAGGATTGATGCAGAATTTTCTGTACATTTTTGTCCTTGACAGGTTAAACCACAATAAATAGCGATAGCATACACGTGGTGTGTGTGTAGTTGTCTGCTTCTTCTAACTGCAGTGATTTTCCTGCAGTTTGAAATCTCGTGCGATCTTGTGAATTTCATGATTCCAGCAACTAACCACTCTTACTAGTACTATCATGTCATCTCAACAAGAACAAATTAAGTTGTTGAATTTCATACAGATCCTACATGATTTAATTACAGTCAAGATAGAAACATGACATTTTTGTGTTCAAATTGCAAGGTAGACTTTTTTTTAAGGTAACAACAATTTACGTTTTTCGGTATACCGACTGCTCGACTTGACTGAAATGGATGCCTTCCTCAAACCACGATCCAAAGCACGCGAGACTGAAATCCCGTGCTGTGTCACGAGATTTAACATTGCTATATTATTGACTTACTTCACTCGAACATGATATGAACAATTTAATCTACCCTCTCTGTATATCATGTAGTTTCTACACTATATAGTTACACTTCACTTTAAAGCATGAGGCAATTGTGTTAAATACACGCAAGACACTTACATAAATCCAAGAGATGGCCAATCCCTTTTTTTCAGTGAATAAACAGACTGAAGTGTGTTTATCCTGGCAGATAGTGTGTTTAACTATATGGTTGAGTGGGCATGTGTGTGTGCATGTGCGTATGTGTAATTTTAAGTAGCTACGATTATTTCCTAATTTCAATTTAACTTAATGCATACAGGTGCAAACTACTGTTATAAGAGTGTATTGTGGTCTTGAAGGGTTTTTTGGCAAACTTTTATAATAAAGTTTGACTTAGAGCATGAGAAAAAACAATAGATAAAGACAATCAGATGTGTGATTTGCAGGTAGACTCTAACATTGTAAATAAAGTTTGAAATAGAAATCATCAAAAACAAGAAATCAGGATTTAAGTAGCTTGCCTCTTTTAACACAATGATTGCAGTTATAAATTATAAGGACAGTGCAATGCACGTGGCCAAATATGTATAAAAGAGGGGTCTTAGAAGCATTTGGGATTAAACACTGGATTTATAAATTGGAATTATAATTTTTGACTTTTATCTCTATACTCATTTTTGCTGGGCAGGATTTCAGTCACACAGGATTTGGGAAAAATTGTACCTTTCCTATTGGATTATATCAACATGGAACAAAGATAAGTGCATCTTCCGGCCTGGATGCACCCATTCTCCTCTCAAGATCAGCATTAAGAATCAGGAAGATTAATATCAGAATAATAACAATATCATAATAATAATTTCAGCGATGATTATGTAATAAATTATGTAATGGTCCTGCTAAATTGCTTTATTAAAATATCCACATTCAAAAAGTTTATATCGTGAACATTACCTTTTTAACCCTTTTTGAA